AGTAAGGACTTGTGTCGCTAAAGTTTCGTCGGAACGAAGTTACGGAAAGACAATCAACTAACGATGGAGACGTAACACTACCAAACAAGAAATGATAAGTTTGGTAGAATTGAACAGAGGGAGTCACATGCATCAAGAGAGTATGTTGCATTCTTATTGGTGGTGGATTGTTGCATGTTAATTTGCATGCGAGATGCATTGGAATTAATCAGTTCCAGATGGGTGAGAGTTTCAAGGCTTGTGGCGTGTGCAAAATGTTTTTTTGTTATAGAGGGCAGCACTGAACGAGAATAGCTATTTATGTGAGAGGAGGTAATGTATTGTATCGGAAGCAAATTGTTTTTGAACAAGAAGTGTTTAGTCAATTTTCTATCAAATAAAATATTTTAATGATTACCAAACTCTTAAAATTTAGAAATATATTGCTGTTTGCCATTGCTACATTATCTAAAGTTTTATAGAATTAAACAGTCAACATTCTCTTAAATATAAAAGGTTACTATCACTGCATGAGAGGCTAAGAGAAACTATATAAAAATAGTGTTCTGTCACCTCTTGAAAGCTTTAAAACCCAAATTCATTAATTATATCATAATTTTACCAGCTGTACTATGTTACAGTAAGCATATGCATTATCTTGTCATAAATGTATAGCAGTAGATATTTAAAATACATTGAATTATTAACTTAAAACTTTTTATCCTGACCAGTTTGTGACACAATATTGCAACCAAACCAAATATTTTTTGTTTGAAACTACATTACACTAACTCACTGGCGTGAGTTCACGCCTATTTTGGGCAGTAGTCTTAAAGGTTACTAAAAGAAACTGGGATAAATCATTGGGCAGTGCCAGTTTCCTCCTGTTACACGATCTCTTGGCCATAACTAGTATTCTTGGGTTATGAATGAATTTCAGTTCATAATAAAATGTTTGTTAACAGGAACAAGATTGAAGCTCTCGACCTACAGTGCATATATCTATTTCTTAATCAACTGCTGTAAGTAACTGTAACTATAACCTGTATTAACCTAATTCTAGTATGAAGCATGATAACCACTGAGGAAAATATCAAAGATAAGTTTGCATAACTCAGTTTCTAGCCCTGTTTCAAACCAAGAGCAAGAGGCTGATGATCAGCTTGTTAACCCAGAGCCAATTCATTGAAAGAGGAATGGATAAAAGTTGAGTTATAGCCTATTCAAGCTGAGGAATCCAAAGCTATCAGCAATTAGGTTGAATTTGTTTGGGTTTATTTCAGTGGTTATAAGAGGAGAAGGCTTTTAGTTGTAATTTGTTACAGACACCAGATGAAACTGATAAAATTTATGCAGAGTAAATTTAATAAATTTGTGTATTTAGAAAAGTTATAAAATTAATGTTTGGAGCCTGTACAAAAACAAATCACATCATCAACATAACTGTACCAATACTTCACATGTTTCCATTATTTTCATCACTAAACAATGTCTTCTCTAAATTATCCATGAAAACTTCTGCAAGCAACGGAGAGAGAGGGTGGGGTGGGGTGGGGGGACCCATACCTAACCCATCATTCTGTTTATTCAAATCCTGGGCTTGAACACAGTTTACTTATTCTTTATCCATTAAATCACTAACAATTTATTTACATTCATTAAGAAGTATACTGGTGAACAGACTACAAACATCAAAGGAAACAATTTTGATGTTATTCTGTATCTTTACATTTTTGATTTTTTGCTAAAAGCTCCAGTGTGTTTTTTAAATACTAAACTTAGGTTTAAAACCAGTTATATTTTTCAAAATATTGTGAGCTTTCTGTGTTAGTTTGTATGCAGGAGCATTAGTATAGGAAACAACATGTCTGATAGGGATATTAGTTTTGTGCAGTTTACGAGGTCTGTACAGATGTGGTGAACAAGGGTTCATAACATTTAATGGCTTAGCTTGGAGTTCATTAAGTAGGCATTTGGTGTTGTTCAACAAAGATTTAACACTGTGGTTAAAGGTTTTAGTCAGGTCTATATTTAGGAGTGTGAAACTGTTAGAATCAAAAAAAGTTGTTGATTTACCACTTTTGTGATAATTAAACTATGATTTGTTATTTTAGATTTTAGTGATTTAATAAGCTCGGACTCCTCATCTCCATTTTTTTGCATAGTTCTCAGGAGAAGTGTGAATGAGTTTATACACTTTGTTATGGAGTCAGATTCAGCATTAAGTGCTACTTCTATATCCATTACAAGATTTTCAAAGTCTTTTACACTTAACTTGTCATCTGAATATCTTGAAACTGAATTAAAAACAGTAAAATAAATTTCTGTCAACAATGGTTATACAACAAAGTTAATTGACACATTGTTTAAAAAATTAAAAGCCAAAAATTTAAAATACGATATACCCACATACTGTACCAACCAAAAAATAAAAACAAAAAATGGTTTAAAATAAGCTACATTGGTAAACCTTCTCACAAAATATATAACACACTGAACAAAGAAATATGGCCCGGCATGGCCAGGTGGATAAGGCGCTCGACTCGCAATCTGAGGGTTGCGGGTTCGAATCCCAGTCCCACCAAACATGCTCGTCCTTTCAGCCGTGGGGGCGTTATAATGTGACGGTAAATCCCACTATTCGTTGGTAAAAGAGTAGCCCAAGAGTTGGCGGTGGGTGGTGATGACTAGCTGCCTTCCCTCTAGTCTTACACTGCTAAATTAGGGACGGCTAGCGCAGATAGCCCTCGTGTAGCTTTGCGCGAAATTCAAAAACAAACAAACAAACAAAGAAATATACAGACCAGCCTTCTACTGTACAAACAATCTAGGCAAAATGTTGTACAACAACCAAGACAAAATCAAAAAGTTCAGTAACAGTGGTGTTTACCAATTGATGTGTGAAAACTGCAATAGTGTATATATATAGGTCACACAGGATGTTTCATAGAAATGAGAATTAAAAAACATTTTAGAAGATGGAAATAAAAAAAATGGATTCAAGTTTTGCATGACACCTTATTGAAACTAAATACCAATATGATTTGGAAAAAACAGCAAAATTTTACATATCTGTGAAAAAAAGTAAAAAAAAACTAGAAATTTTAGAAATAAACAGTAGTCTAAAAACAAATCCAGAAAAGTTCTAAATGACCAAACAAACTTAAGCTCCTGAATGTCAAGATTACTTCCAATTTTTTTTGTTTAAACTATATATAAACCTGTTTACAAACCATTTTAGTATGTGCCTAATGATACCTTTACTGGCAAAACCATAGTCATGAATAAATTAAGTTTTTGTTTTTCTTCAAATTAGATTTATTGCTAACTTCTAATAAAGAAATGTTTGATCTGGTGGAGATTGGGGAATATTTCTGCACTCATGATTTTCATTCTTTCATGAGACAAGGAATACTAAGTTGCACCTTAATGGAGAGGAAGGGTGTGAACAGGTGTGTATTGGAAATACATTTGCAGGTAAGGAATATGTTAATTTCCGAGGTAATACACACCTCTTCTCACAGAAAGCTAAAATCCCACATTGAAATGGTGGAGGGTTCTGTACG